CTCTCTTCTCTCTTTTCTTCTTTCCTCTCCTACTTCTTGCTGTCTACTTTACTCTACAGTCAACGAACAAGACAGAATTCTATGGCAGGTCAAACTTCAACATAGGCAAATGACTTAACTACCCTTGTGCTGTTGATTGTAACAGTTAGTGAACTCTATGTAGTTGCACATAACAGTTAGTGAACTCTATCCCACACCAAGGAGGTGTGGGATAGTGTGACTAAAACCTATTCTCAGAAAATCAATGTGGCCAGAGTATATAAATTAAGGAATGATGTGAACAATATACAACAGGGGGAAAACCACTGGCATTGTATTATTCTATGCTGAGATCTTTCATCATTATCATCACCATCCATGCCTTTTCACAACTATATGGGGTTGGCTACATGAATCCTATTTCACCAATCCATTCTATTTAAATCCATATAAATCAGCATCCATATTTGAAGTCTTTGTAGCAAGAAATTGATCTACTAGAGATTGTTGTTTGGGAAAAACTAAGGATGCAGAAACTTATAGGAAGCTGGTGGAAACAAACTGAGTGTTTGAATTTTTAACTGGTTTCAACCCTCAGTATGACATTACCATGCAGAATATATTAACTAGGAATGAGATTTTATTGTCCCAGGCATATGCTATGGTTAGCAGTGAGGAGAGTAGGCAGAAAGTTCAGTTAGTAATTGCAGAAACCACAAACTACATCCTTCTTTTCATCAATGGTTTTATCAACTAAAGTAGAACTTCTCCTTTGGTTTCACATTGGCATGGGCATGATGATTTGTAATTGGTGCCTGGAGATGCACCTGTCATCTCTCCTCATTACTAACAAATAGTACACCTAAGACATCTCTAGCCAAAATAATTTGTTGAGTGATGTCATACTCAAGGTTGAGTCCAATCAAGAACTCAGGGCCTGTTTGGTTTGCAGGAATAGGAGTCTGGAATCGGAATCAGAATGGACCATTCCGATTCCAACTGTTTGGTTGGGTGGACTATTCCCATTCCTAGTGGAATGGCATTCCCCCATTTGAGGGAATGGCCATTCCCTCCCCCTCCCTTGGGAATGAAGTCCCATTCCAGTTGATTCCACTTCTCATTCTGATTCCTGTCTGAACCAAACAATCTATGAGAATAGACCATTCCAATTTGGACTCTGAATGATTTTGATTCCAATTCCGACTGTGAACCAAATGGACCCTCAAAGACCTTGTTTCTCTCCATTAACTTCTCATATGTAGTTGCATTCCTAGTGCTCTCCCACACATCATTCTCTAACAAATTGATCTCCTACAACAAGGATTTTAGAGTAGAGTATTACAAGGCCAAAGGAATCTTCACATATTTTAGATTATCCACTTCATTTTTTAATTTATATGCCCTGCTTACATTCATTTTCTGAGAGTAGTAGGCTTCAGTCAAATTATCCTAATACTTGTTTGGCTGATTTCATCCACAAGTAGTTTCTACTGATATGTAGTTGCATAGAACTTACAAGCCATGACATAATCACGTAATTCTCCTACACCCACCTACTATATGAAGCATTTAAACTATCTGGTTTTTGGTACTACCAGTAAGATATCCTAATTTGTGATGACCACCAACATAAGTACATATAGACTATGCCCACTCCAAATAATAGTTGCATAAACAGTAGCCACTGCATTAAGAGAATTCTCTATGAACCTTACAGGAACAGCCTCAAACTCCAAATTCTGCTTGAAATCAATTCCAGATTGCTTCATTGATCTAACATTCAACAAGAACAGCAATGTTTACAAAAATAAGGAAAATGAGGTGTACTAATCTCAAATCACTTGACCTACAGTCAAGTACACAAGAATTTAGGGTTTCCAAGTCAGCCCCACCAACCCTAGAACCTAGGAATTTGAGAGAAAGTCAATCTGCTCCTACCAGCCTCAAAGATGGCCTTCCGATGTGGCTATCAATCTATAAGGGTACAAAACAATCCCAAAAAATTTTGAGCACCCTCCCCAAAACTGTCTCCCTGGTGTTCAATTCAAATCAGCTCCAATTTCTCTAACTGGTGACATCAATCGATAGTAATTGGCCACTCAAACTCTTCTACATCTTGCTGATCCTAGTAGAGTATGGGTCTTGAAAGAAGAAAAGAGAACAGCTCTGGTACCAAGATATGATTCAGACATTCAGTTCAATAAACAACCTTACAAATAACATAAAGTTTTTGCACATAAATTATGAAGAAAAGGATCAGAACAGTAGGGAAGAAAAAATAAAAAAATAAAAAAGATAAGTTAGGGAGAAGTCAAGATTGTGGGTTCATCTGTCCCCACTATGTAAATTCAATTTAACTATAAGATTAAGAAAAATGGTGTAAGTAGGCCCATTATATAATCAGCCCAATTATAAATAAAAATTACAAAAGGCCCAAACTAAATCCTCCAAAGCCCAACAACACTCAACAAAGATAACATGATCTTAATTTCTGTACAACTTTTGTTTTAATTTTCTCCATGTGTCTGTTTTATTTTACCAGAAAACTTGTTGATAGTGATGCTTGAGAAAGAGTGAACCATTTAATTGTTCATTCCAAAACCATAAGTTACATAATCCATAGTCTCAACTCCTGATTATCATTTTATCTAGGTACCAAGACTTCAAGCTTCTATCATCAAGGATCGTGGTATCATGTTGAGACAAGGGTGAGAGTAATGTTTTTTGACATGACAGCATTCGAGACCGAAGTGAATCTTTTAAGGTCTGCCTCATGGGTCTCACATTCAGTTGAACCCCCCAGATGTCAAAGTAGAGAACATTGTGGTCTTATGAGTTGGCCTGATCATTTCCACAACCCAAGACAACATCCAAATGGAAATCATCAACAAGAAAACAACTTGTCTGCAAGAGCAATGCAACTGGGCATCTTTGGCAGCATGGTGTGTTTGAGTTCTAAATGTGCCTTATTTTTTTTATTTTCAACATTGCCTGCTCCTTCAAGTAATTTCTTTTGTTATTTTAATCAATAGGTAAGCAACATCTATAGACGTGCTCGGAGCTTTCCAAGGAGTTTTCTGTCTAAACCATCACACAGCCTGTCATATCCAAGAGTTCCAAGTAGAATACATTCTCATCCGCTTGTTTCTGTCAAATCTGAAGGAGCTGCTACTGTGACCAGGAGCCTCAGAGTGAAAGATTCAAGGGGACCAAATACTATTCCCCCACTACCAAGTAAGAAAACAGATGAGAGTCATGTAATAGATGATTCAAGTGATGAATCTGGTGCTGATGATGAACTCGTTGTGAGAATTGATTCCCCTAGCAGACTCTCTTTTCGCCAGGCTTCATAAATTCATTTTTTTCTTTTGGAGCCTAAAAAAGAATCAAAATTATAATTCATCTGAATTATTATAATATAGTGTACTGTTCTTACGTGTAAATAGTGAACCAAATAAGACAGACTGAAAAATGCCGTTTCATATGTTATTATCTAATTGACTCTACGTTGTATGAGTTAAATGCATCATGTAATATAAGCTTTTTGCTTAGCAAAATTGAATTAAAAATCAAATTTAGTATATTTTCAATTTCCTTATAATCTACTGCTTGACCCATTACTCAATGTTTCTTTCCTGATAATTTGAAAAATAAAATAAAAATTAAAAGCCAAAAGGAAGACAAAACCAATCACATTCTGCTTGATTACAACTTTGTAGTGTATAAAAATTATGAGAAATTTCGAGTTCAGCTCACCTCAGGAACTTCTTAGTGTTGAAAGGAAATTATTTCAACACTATTATAAAATAGTTAGCAAGAATTTGTTAGGCATTTAAGTTTCCGATGTATTTGTAATGGATCATCTCAAGGCAAGAATTTGGCTTCCACCATCTCCCATTTATCGCAATAGAGAACAAAGTATTAAAACATATAATATAAGTTTGCGATTATTATTAAGATTGACACGTGCAACACAATTGCACATGTACTAGTACTAATAATCCAAATAAATCTATGATATTATTGTTGTTATTTAATATAATTAATATAAAATATTAGAGATGTGTCCAAACATTTCTACATAGTATTTATATTTTTTCATTTTTTTAATTTTTATTATTTATTTAGGAGATCAATGGTTGGCACATATGACCAAAAGGTTGAACTTTGACTTGCCACTAGGAAAACAATTTCATTTTTGGGTCAATCTTAAATTTATACTTAATTTCCAACATCAATAAAAACAACTATTATTTATCGCACTTATTTTTTTTTAATATGATTAATATAAAATATTAGATAAGTGTCTAAATGTTTTTTACAAAAATTTGTATTATTACATAATGTGTTTGTGTTTTTTTATCATTTCTATATTTAATTTAATAATTATGATATCAAACACATTTGACTCAAAAGGTTGAATTGTTGACCCACCACCATGAAAATAATTTTTATTTTTGGATTGGTTTTAAATTTATATTTCATTCTAACATCAATAAGAATAATAGTTATTTATCGCACTTATTTTTCTTTAGTATAATTAATATAAAATATTAGAGATGTGCCCAATTTTTCTATTTTTTATTTATTTCTATTTTAAAAATTTTATTTAATTATGAGATCATCGATTGACACATTTGACTCTAATGGTTGAATTGCTTATTTGCTACCAAGATGAAAGAATGGTTCAAGTCAATTTTAAAAAGTATGTATTATATATCATAAAAGTATCGGATATAGATATAATTGATATAATTTATTGGCAAAAAATAGCTTCAATAATAGGATTCAATAAGAGAATGGGAGTTAATACCCTAAATATAAGAATTGTATTAATGAGAGGAATTGAATGAGACAATGTTTTTGAACCGTCGTTGATCCAGACGGTCAAACCATTCGGCCCGAAAACAGTCCAAGTAGTCAGTTCCATTTCACCCCTAACTCGTTCCTGGGTCAAAAACCATTTACTTGGTTAGAAAATCGTTAACCCGGATAGTCGAACTATCAACTCGTTTAACTCGAATAGCAGTTCTGATCCAAGAACTCTCTTCTTCGTCAGAAAACATACGAACTCATATATGAGTTCGTGTCTCAGATCTGAGGAAGAAGAAGAAGAAGAGAGAGAGAGAGAGAAGAAGAAGAAGAAGAAGAAGAAGAGCATCTGAGAACTCATATCTGTGTATGTTGCGCTGCCTCGCCGTCACCGTCGTCGTCTCCATTGTCGTCGCCTATGAGCATCAAACCACCCTCATCTTCCTTTTTCTTCCCTCCTTCCCTCCTCCTTCTACTTCCCTCCTCCTTCTACTTCCCTCCTTTTCTCTTTTCCTTTCTCCTTTCTTTCTTTCTTTTCTTTCTTTTTTTCTTTCTCACCAACAACATCTGCTCTCTCCTTTCCTTTCTCAAATCTCATAACTCATATAAAATAGTTGCCCTAATATGCAAACCGTCTGAACCATTCGACCCAGATGGTTGAATCGCTGACCTTGAAACTAGTAGCTAGAACGGTTCCGTTTCCAGGTCGGTTTTTAAAACCTTGGAATGAGGAGAAATTAATGGGAGCAAATACTTTAAATATCACTTAATGAGATGGATTTATATGAAGAGAAAAGTGGTTGCTCAAATTAAATTCCTTTCTGTACAATTAGAGAATGACCAAATTCAAAAAAAAAAAAGGTTATTTTAGTTAAACAAAAGTTTTACACTTTTAATTGTATTATAGATAGAAATAGATATAGATATCTTACCTTCATAGCCCTAGACCAAGGGGTCACTTTGATCTCTCATAATCTTTTTGCTTGATTTATAACCATAGATGAATAAAGGGAAAATGTACTTCAAAGATCATGAAGGTATGGGATTTTACCTTCTAAGGTAAATAGTTTGCTATTAAGGAATAAAACCTATTAAAATATTTTTTAAGGGATAAAAGTAGATAGATGAAATCTTAGAAAGTGATACAAAGTATAAATATATATTTGTCACTTTTATAAAAGCGAAAAAACAATTGAAATAAGAATAAGCAAGGGAAAATTCCATAAACAAAGTGAAAAATAATCTAGCATTTGATTTCAATGAATGAATAATTTGAAAATAATTGAACAATCATTTTCAAATTATCAATCATTATTGTCTTCTTCATTTCACTTTTGTGAGCAGTGTCTACACGCACCATAGCTCGAAGAATAAAACATCTCTCTTTTCATCTACAACAAGAGATCGATATGAATTTGGTATCAGAGCACCATGCACCTTCCGATGATCCGATGGAGGTCAAACAATGGTTAAGCGGTGTTGAGGGGGGCCAAGCAGAGCTCAACTGTGGCCAAGCAAAGCTAGGTTGATGATTGGAGGAGATCCTGGACCGTTTCATCCACCTAGTGAGAAGATGCAGAAATCAACGTGCCAGCCAAAGACATAATGGATTGAGAGCCTCGAGAACTTTGGACAAATGCAGACATAGAATCATCATTGGAGGCCATGGCATTCTGATACCAACTTAGAAATATAGCAACATAGTAGAAAAATATGAGAATGGTTCGAGGGAACCTTCATGTATTTATAATAGTCCAAGCAATTACAGTTTGAGTGAAATACAAATATTGAGATATTTGGATGAGAGTACAACACAGCTAAATCTAAATAAGATACAAGGGAGATAAGATTAAGATGAGGAGAGAGCAAGGATAACAAGAGAAGATAACAGATCTTGTTATATATATATATATATATATATATATATATATATATATATATTGAAACAAAGCGGTTAAGAAATTTTCTCTTTTTTATGAATTTTTTGTTTTTTTATTTCATGTCATTTTTGAAACAACCAATGAGATGCACTTTCCCAATAACCTAAATAATCTTTTCTCCTAAAATTTATCTTAAACTACCTCTCCCACTTTCTTTAGAATTATCTCTAATTCCTATTTATCTCCACAATTATCTGTAATTTAGTAGAGAGTTTCTCTCCTAAATTATCTCTAATTCCAATTTATCCTCTCCCCTACTTTTTATCTATATCTATCTAAATAAAGTTTGGATTAAAAAATTTAAAAATTATTTAAATATTCTAATAAAATTATAAAATAACTTTAAAGTATTTATTAACAATTTAAATAATGTTGTTTTTGGATTATCAATTTAAATGCTTTTCAAAAATTTAATAATATGTAATAAATTTAAATAAATAAAATTCAAATAACAAAAAAATTTAAATATTTTATAGATTATTTAATTATTTAAATAACTATATTTTATATAGTTAAAATAACGAAATTATCTACAAATAATTGTATATTTTGTAAAAATATATCATGAAATTATGTACTAACAATTTATATTATGTTTTTCAGGATCATCAATTTAAATGTTTTTCAAAGATTTAATAATATGCAATAGCTTTAGAAATAACAAAAAATTTTAAATATTTTATAGATTATTTAAATATTTAATTAACTAGATATTTATCATAACTATATTTTAAATGGTTAAAATAATGAAATTATGTAATAAATTTAAAATTTTCTTTAAAGCAGAAAAATAATTATAATATAATATTAAAATTAATAAAACTTTATATATTACAAAATTAATAATGAAATTTTATAATAATAGTATAAATTATGATTTTATGGATAACTAAATTCCATAAATAACTAATATTTTAAAATTGAAATATTTTGCATATTATTTAAAATAACTATATATTTTAAATAACAAAATATTTAACATAACTAGATTTTAAATAGTTAAAATAAAGAAATTATGTAATAAATTTTAAAAAAAAAACTGAAAAGTAGAAAAATAATTATAACATAATATTGAAATTAATAATAATTTAATATTTTTACATAATATTGTAAATAACTAATTTCACTTAWATCAAGTAATGATTTGAGAAAATAACTTTCAAAAAAATTAATATTATTAATAATAATTTTAAACTCGTAATATGTATTTATTATATAATTATATATACTAAAATTAATATTTATTGTATTTCAGTAATTATTTATTATTTTCTTGACAAATGTATGTTCAATGATTATGTATAAATTTATTTTGTTCTGTTATTTAATAGAAAAAAATTAATAATTATTGGAGATTAAACTACTATTAGTGAAATTTTTAAATTTAATTTATTGTACTTTTGTTATTAATTATTGATTAATATTTATTAGATATTAAACTATTATTTGAGATTATACTATTTATTGACTAAGTTAATATATTTTTAGTACTTATTGTATTTTTTCATTATCAATATATCTTCAACAATTATGTATTTTTGCTATAAATTTTCAATAATGATTGGAGATTAAACTATTGTTATTTATTAGAGATGGGACTATTAATTTAACTGAAATTATGAATGTTCATGAGTTGGTTTGGTTCGGTCGTAGGCTATTTGGCCAATCAAATTGACATGGTCATGTTGTGGAGTTGGTTAACTGAAACCGACTAACCTTTTGTGAAAACCGACCCACTCAATCTATATCGGTTTGGGTCGATTTTTTGGTTTGTTCAATTGATTCAAAAGATTTAAACTTAAAAATTAAAT